CTACACTGTATTAATTTTTTAGAATCTTTTTATGTATTTCACTTTATTATATAAATTATTTTATTATTTAATAAATGCTAATCAAAGATGCTTTGCTATTTTTTTCCTGTTTTATTGCATAATTTTTTAAGTGTTAAGCAGAACACTCTAAATTTTTACATTTAAATATTTTGACTCTTTCTGAAAAACTTTCATTAATTATATAAATTCGTTTTAGACTTGTTTTTAATTTTTGGGTGGGTAGAATTTCTCCGTTGAAATTCGGAAATTTTTAATAATTTTCAAATCATTCTGTAAAATTCAATTTTCATCCAAAATTTACAAAAATTGTTGTAAATATATATAATTTGATATTTCAAACAAACTTACTTATTTACATAAATTATCATTGTATAGTAGAAAGTTATTTTATTTTATTTTTCGTTTACCATATATTTTGATGATCTGCAAGTGTCCGGAAATTTTTTGTAGGGGAGTGTACAACAAATAGTAATAGTAATAAAAATGGATCACATGACCCTGTGGAAATTTCATTTTTCATATCATGGATGTACCAAAAAAATTGAAAATAATTTAACATCAATAAAAAATCTAATATTTCAAAGGTACCTATACTTGGATTAAATCAGCTTCAAATATGAGCACATCTAGAGAATGCCAAAAAAAGAATATTTTTAGTAAGTGGGAATTTAAAGATAATTCAGAAAATAAACAAAAAGAAAACCTTAGTGCCTTTAATTTTTGAATGTTTAAAAAGAGGTACATCTTTTTCTGTGGAAGCTTTAACAAAGTAACAAATTTTTATGTCTTAAATTAATAATTATTTTCAATAGTGATTTGAAGTTAATTTCAATTTATAATTTAATAATTTTTGTAATAAAAAAATAAATAACATAACTAATTGTTGCTCAATTCAATTCGTCCTCATAGAATTAGTATGAAAGACCTTGACTTTCAAAATCAGCTACTTAAAAATAAGTGTAACGGTTTTGTTAAACTTCAAAACTGACAGATTTATTTTCTCATCTATCTCATCTATATTTGTTAAATGACAGAGGACAATAAACCTGGCATTCTCGGTTCGAAAAGGGAACTTCTTCAGGGCTTCAATTTGTTACGGGACAGCAGAAATGAGACAAAAGAGAGGACAGATACACAATATAGTCAAGCTAATAGCAATGACAAGAATGACAAATGATGCCAACATTGTTTTCGAATGTTCCAACCAAGAAAAAATTAAAGAACTGCAATCAAGCTTGGGGAAATTGTTCCAAGACAGTACTTTGGAATGCTCTACATGGACAAAAAAAACCGCTGAAATGCCGTGTCACCTTGTGCTCCCGGACGATGAACCTGAAAACAAAGATGACAGTTCCTCCGTTACCCAGTGTCAGATGGTGCAGAATTCGATAAACCACCGTGCATTAATTCTCCCATTGTAGTTTGAAATATTAAGTGAATCTGATAGTTGTCGTGTGGCAACTTCCCTTTGCCTTGATCTCCAAACTGAAGATCCTAAAGAAAATACTATAATGGAGCTTCGATGTTACGTAATGGAAGTTAAACAGTTTAGTTTTAATCATATTATTATTATCGGAAACATTATTGTGGAATGCTTTTTATGGATTGTTTCGGTCGCGTGTTTGATTGAGATTCAGATGGTCATGCATTATGGTCTCTCGGGGATTATTTCGAAATCATATCAAAGGAGGAATCTGAAAAAGACTACGATGATCGGATCGGATAGCATGGGACGTTTTAAATGATGGAATTGCGTTTGTGCTACATAAATGTATGTGTATATATTTTGCTCGCATTTTACCTTAATCTTTTATGACTTTTCTTTTCTTTCAGATATATCGGGAGAATTAGATATTCCCTCCTCAATCAAGGATGATATAAAAAAGAAAAAGCATTATTGATTTTACTGAACTTATTCTACTGAACATTCTTTATTTAATTAATTAATAAAGTTATTAAATATTAAAAAAAAAATTTTTTTCTATATAATAACATTTGCAAAAATTTTTTTTTTATACTAGTAAAACTGCATTAATACATCCATCATTTTCGGGATTGTTTGTAACTTTTTTAAAATGAAAAGAAAAGACAAGATTAATAATAAATAATGATCATAATTACTATCATGATTATTTACATACCTTGAGCATATTTTCCCCATACAACTTTTCCTGTTGTTGTTACAAGTCCTAATTCTGAAACATTAACCTAATATACATACATGGTTTTTGTGAATAATAAATCAAGTAAATTAATAATTAAAGTAATTATTAATAATAACAACAAATAAGTAAATATAAATCTGTAGAGCTCACCTCCACAACTGTTCCTTTAGTTATAACACCGAGTTGAGTATATAAAGGACTTTGAGGATTTTTCTTAACACTAATGATTGGCAAATGAAAAGTGGCTGCTAATTCAGGATGTGTAACATGTGCCTTTTTATAACGTAAAGCCATCGGTCTAATAAATCTTTCATATTTAGGAGGTTTCCTAGTAAAACCATCACCAACAAATGTTGCCTTTGTTACCATACGTTTCCATTGTTTTGCTAAAAAATCAAATTTTCTAAACTATTAATATTTTTTACTATAAATATAAATGCTAATGTATATGTATATGTATAATGTATATATACTTTTTCTCTTTCCAGTTTTTACTACTCTAAACATTTCATCTTCTGCAATACCACGAACTTTAGGTAATGGAACAGTCCATTTCCCCGCCTTTTCTTTTCGTTTTTGTTTTATCATATTTGATAATATTTTCGCTCTTTGTTGTTTCTCACGATCCATCAAATATGTTGGAATAGCACCTTCAGAAAGTGCTTGAGTGTCCTTTTGTTTAGAAGATTTTTCTTCATGTTGTTTAATCCTTTTTTTTATGTTTGTTAAAAAAAAATTTGATTTTAAAAAAAAAAAACAATCAAATAAATCAAATTATTAATTATTAATTACTTCTTTTTCATTTGTATCTTCTCTGCATGTCGTTTCTTATTATATAATTTGGCTTTTATTCCATGAACTTTTTTTGCAAAACTTGAAGAACTATGAGCTTCACGTGCAAGTTTCTTACGCCTTATTAAATAAAAATAAAGTAAAAATATTAATTAAAGAATTTAAAAAGAATCAAAAATTATAATAATCAATTGTATTACTTTCTCTCCTCATAATCCAGCCTTCTTCCATATTTTTTAATTGCTTCTTCAATATACTCATTTTGTGGCTAAAATATCATTAGTTATTAACTTTTAACAATTAATTAATCAATCAACGACAAAAATAAAGATATATATACCATTTTTTTTTTTTTTTTAAAAAAAAGGCTATATAGCCATTAGAAAGAGTGAATTTTTTTTGATCAAAAAAAAAGTCCAAATTTTTGTGTAGCAACACAAACTACACGTGACAACTTATGATAACCTGGATATGGTAATTTTTTTATTAATTAAAAAGAATTTATTTAATCACCAAAAATCTATCATAACGAGAATAATAAAAAAGAAAATGTTTCAACTTCCAATACTAAAACAGCTTCTGAAAATATAAATACCCAGTCTCCTGATCATGGTTATGGACTCAGTAGGATCCCTAAACCTAATTGGTAGCAAATTCACTGATCATCTCATATCTAGCTATGAACTAGTCTTAAATATTATCTTAATCATAAAACCACAGAAAGTCTAGAGGAACTTTTTGAAGTGAATATCGTATCAACTCCAGAAAAAATAGTCGACCTTGTTGTGGTGTACCTGGAATTGGTAAGACTAGATTTTAGGCAGGGATCCATGATTCGCCTGATTTTATAAATTAATATGATTGGTCGGCAAATGCATTTGATTTCTAAATGACAGACAGAGGTGAATGGGGTAGTTTGACATCACTGGCCATAAGATCCACAAGATTTGGACAATTGGGCGAAGTTCACTCGGCATTCTTTTTAAAGCCCACGAATGTATTACAGTTTCGAGAATATTAGAAAACGATCCGAGGTTTTTAAAGGTGGTATGGCTCTCATGGCTCTTTTACTACTCGGAGTGTTTCGTTCGTCATTTGAACAATTCTGCGACAATATCATTTAACTCCTCTAACCCTTTATGTATGCTCTCACCAAAAGATTGGATTTAGTAGTGGTCACCAGGAAATTTTTCCGACACAATTATTATTATTATTATTATGCGATTTACAAACTTACACTTGTAAGTATAAGTGATTTACGGGGTGCAATAATCTCATAATATTGCGTTTGGAAAATTTCTTGTCTTAAATGAATATTCGCTGGTGTATCTATTTGGAATATATATATATATATATAAGAGTTGAGTATAATTTTGGGTATTATTGTAGTGGAAAAATTTCCTGGTGCTACTATTATATTTGTTATATTTGGAAATAGCAAATATAAATATAAATATTAATATTTATGGCAGTTCGGAAATTAGTTTCAAATTTTACGCAATATTAATATCTCATAATATTGACATTGCATAGAATATGAAAAGCATGAAATTTCTCGATTGTTATAGAAAACACTAAATTTTCCCAAAACTAGATTCAAGGTAAATATTTACTATTATTAATAATTTAACACACTTTTTTTTATTTTTGAATATATAATATTAATCCAATACTGTTATAATCCGACTTTTAAATTAAAAATAGTTTTTGAACACATCCATTTTTAAAAAAACCATATGATACAAAATTAAATATAAAAGCAAATTACTATAAGTGAGTATATATATACATGTTGCTAAATCAGCATAAAAGAATAAGATGGATAAAGCAGATGAAATGTCACAAACAAACAAGGACATTCCCAAAAAAAAGTGCGTTGTTGAGTAAATATGCTTACCTTGAGGTGATGGTACTTACACCTGCATGTCATTTTCTGCCATCAAATGAACTCTTCAAGAAGAGAGCCCAAGTAAGCAATTTCCGTCGAATTATTTTACAGACAGTGAAAGGAAGATGAATGTTTAAACCAAAAATTTTATTACTAAAGTTATGGACACTGAAATTTTTTGAATAGTGTACAATCAAATCTCAGAGAATGGTTTTAGGCCCATAACCTACTCTAGGACTTTGGTATAGGAAATAATATAACTTTATAGAATGATCTTAAATATTATGCCAATAGGCGAAAACAATAAAATGCAATTTTTTGTTAAACATTTATTTATTCACTTTCTTTGCTCATGGATGAATTCGTTTGTAACCAATTAGATGAAAGCCAAAAAGTCATATCGTTTGGATAAAAGCAAACGTTAATTTGTCATTTACCTCGCTTACAATATTTTTCAATTGAGTATAATGGCTCCTGTCTTTTCTCAGTGATTTAAAAATACCACTGGTATAGATAGTGAAAGCTCAATGAATAACATCATGTAAAAATTTTATTGCATGATAAAATCTTCGCTCGTCATGGATGGACGTTTCCCATTTGAAGATAAAAATTTGGAGATCACAATATGTTACACAAACTTTCGATTGTTAAAACGCGGGTTGGCAGTTATATATTTCTACGTAAAAACAAACTTTTCCTTTTAAAATTTAACATGGAAAAAAGTAATTACTATCATAAGAAACAAGAATTCATAGAATCACAGATTGAGATACTTCAACAGAATTTATTTAGTTATTCAGAGGAATGGACCACAGAAAATGAAGAGTCTGATAATCGAATTCCAAAACAAGTTGTAGATCCAGTTATAAAGAAATGTATATAATATAACTTGTAACATTAAAAATGGGATGGATTGAAATGAACAAATTTAAAGAAAATGATTTATTAAAAAAAAACAATTTTTATTACTATATACTTCGAAAATGTTATTATTAGTGATGACAAGCATTAAAAGTCAACAGAAACAAATTTTTAATAATCAAACAATTCGACAAGTTCTTGATCAACTTCAATTTTTATATTACCAAAAGCAAAAAAACGCATTAGAAGGATATATTAGAGTGGAAGAGAGTGATTTTCAAGATCCAAGGTAATTAAATTTCATTTAATAATTAATAATCATAATGTCGATAATAATCATAATAATGATTGATATATTGTTGTTTTTTAGATGGATTGAATCATTTCCAGAAGAATGGTCAACATTAGAAAGTAGTAAAACATATAAAGAAGAGCTGAAAGTGTAAGATATATATAATTATTATATAGTTAAATATAGTCATCCTTCAATTCTTGATATTATATAATATATTTATATATCCATTTACATCATATCATATATGATAGATATGCAGAAATACGAGAAAAAGTTTACCAAGCACAAAAGGAATTTATGGAAGTTAAAGAAAAATATGAATATTACAAACATTTAAATGAATTATTGTTGAGAATGAATACAAACAGCATACAAAAGAATATGCTTGTCAAAAATTCACCAGTTTATAATGAAGTTGAGAAAATGAAAAGTTTAGGTGAAAAAATTATTATTATTTTTTTTATTGTGAAAATTTTTATTGAAATTATTGTATTATATTTTTAAAGTGGTAAAGATGACCAATACTTTAGAAAAGAAATCAGAATTTTTAAATAAGAAAAAAAACCAAAATTTAAATTCTAAATTCAATAATGATGATAATGGTAATGGTAAAAGTAATAAAATTGTATTTTAAAATTCACACGTCATTTTCTCATTTTTTGCCTAAAATCATTAGATGAGATGATGACAATTGAAGAATGATGACAACAAAGAAGAAGGAGGAATAAAAAGAAGGAAATTGTTTGAACAATTAAATTTATATTATATATATATTATAGAAAGAATTTTCTTCTACTAGTTTCCAGCTCAGGCTAAAAGGCTAAAATATCAATTAATTAATTAATCAAAAGAAAAACATAATAATAATAACAATAACAATAACAATAACAATAATAATGATATACCTTGAACATCATTCATATTCATTGTTCTTATTAAAAGTTCCTTTTTGTAACCATTTAAGCTTGAGAGTAAATCTTGTACCAATTTCTTGTAGTTCTACTTTATCTTTACTTTGAAAATTATATCTATTTATTTTTTATTATTTTTTTTTTTTGTTTTGTTTTATGGTTGTTCAGTTTTGTCTACCTGTGATGTCTAAAAAATATAAAATCCCTTTGATTGTGAAATGTAGCAACCTGTCTTCCTTGAAATTGTGGCACATGATGAAATAAGCTTGAAACCATCTACTGATAGTATGAACAAGTCTTGTATTAAAATTATTCAATATTAATTCTGGTTTATGATTTGAAGATCTTCCATGTCCCTTGATTAGCACATTTTATTATAAGAAGATATATACAGGTGAGATAGTGATCTTTTATCTTCATACTATAAAAAAATAATAACTAAATCTTACATAAATTTCATGACTTAATTTCACATTTGTTAGCCTGAAATAAGCAGTTGGCCCATTTGGTAAATGTATTAAAGCCATTGAATCTGATTTCATAAATTCATCCAATAAAAAATAATTAAATATAATTAATATATTAAATACACATTAATAATAACAATAATAATAAATAGACCAATTACATGGTGATTTCTTATTTTCATTGATAAATAACAAATCAGTGAGTTCTCTATTTTTTACAAAATTCTATAATTTGCCCAACTGTGAGTTTTTTATTCCTTTGACGTATTGACTGTTCGGAAATACGTCAACTAGTTCAGATGCAAACCAATAACTAGACTTTGATAGTGGTTATCAACATCTTTGTGATAATCCATCTTGAAAATATTTCGAAAATTCATCAGACACTTCCTCCTCAAAAACCTCATCATTGTCCACTCCAATAATTGTTTCATCTACTTCTCGAGTATTATCAAGAGTTTTTGGTACATTTTTCTTCAATCTTGCCTTATAATAGTAATGATGATCATGAATATAATTATGAATAGATGGTGGAATAAATAATTAATATTTTTTTTCTCGGGATCTTTTCCTCTTCCTCTCGTAATTTTAACCTCATTTTCATTTTTTCGATATTTTTTTTCCTGTTTTTTTCTAGTGTAGTCACTTTTTTTTTGTCCTATATTTTATTTTAGGAGTAGTTGTCCGGCCCATTTTATTATTATTATTATTATTATTATTATTATTATTATTACTATTATCATTACTATTTTTACTATTTTATTTATTTTGAGAAAAAATTTCTATTTATATGATTTATATGTAAATTTTACAAAAAAATAATTAACGACACCGTGAAAATTCTAATAATATTTAAGAATAGAAGATTAATATGGTTTTTTTTTATTTTAAAACTACGGAATATTTTTTTGATTTAATAGTTTATTTAAATGAATTAGAAAGAACTAATCGAAGGATGCTCCTTAAAGAGACAAAACTATAGATTCCAGAGCTAAAGATACAAATAATTGAAGGAAAATTTATTTTTTAGACAATGTAAAAACCATTTGGAATGATCATGTTTCTTCACATGTAAAAGTTTATTCATTATTATTATATTGTGCATGCATTTATTATTATGAGTAAACTAAATGAAACTTGACGTAAAATTGAAAAGGAATTCGTATTCCTTCAACAATTGGTTAATAAATGCAGTGAATATTCATTTCGTCAAATTCGGTAATTATAATTAATATTTTAGAATTCCATCATAGATGATGTTCCCTAATTGTGAGACGTTACAAAGTTTCCAAGAAACCAATGAAAAAAAATATAAATTGGCAAAAACCATCCATAACTTTCAGAAAAAAAACTTTAACATAACAAACAACAATATTTTATTTAAAAAATGAATAATTTTAATAATTTATTACTATTGCCAGTTGAAATGTTAACAATGATCTTCAAAAATGTAAAATTTCCAATCTCATTAACCTTGACGTGCAAGTTTTGGCACAAAATCTCAAAGGATCCACACTCGAGAGCCGAATGGTTGATAGAGCATTATGGTTCACATGCTTTAGTTTATGCTATTAAATTTGGTCCTGACTTTATTAGCGTTAAATTGGTGGAATGTTTGCTTGCTAAAAATATTAATTTATCGCAATATCTTGTGCAAAAATTATCTTCTAATGTTGGTAAATCCGATGAAAAATTAACTAAACTGAGATATAATAATAATAATAATAATAATAATAATAATAATAATAATAATAATAATAATAATAATAATAATAATAATAGCACTACCAAAAATCTTTCCAAAAATTGGGGATCTAACACTCCGTTAGATGTATATATTCATTTGTTGAAGAAAGCAAGTTCAATATGGAAGTCTAATTTACATTTGAAAGGAAATGATATGCAAGTCTTTTTTTACTTGTCAGGAGGAGACCTTCCAATTGATAAAGCGAAAATCAAAATGAATGAAAATTTATCAAAAATCGAGGATTTGATCTTGACAAATAAATTTGTACCATTTCCACAACGGCCAAAGCAACAAATCAACAACATCATAAAATATCAGGAAAATTTAAAACTTAAAAGTGTTGAAAAAAATCATCATTGTCCAAATGACGGTTATGAAAATAACATAACCTCAAATATTATCCCAAGAGCAATTATTCTCAATCCTAAATTGGTCACATTATGGAAAAATAATGGATACAAAGATATTTTCCACGATTACAATGATTTAGTATTAAAAGCAACTTATCTCATGTTATTTCCACCAACTATTTTCAACAACAACAACAATACTAATATTCCAGATTTAACTAAAGTTGTTTCAAGATTGAGGGAATTTGTCAATTTGGGGTTTAAATTAACCAAACTAGTCATGGGTGACGTGTTGCTATTATTTGAAAATGAATTATCGATGATTGGTGAATTAATCTTGAAATCATTCCAAATATTCAGAAATGAAGATATACAACAAATCTTGGAATATTGTTTGGTTCAAATCCTCATGCCTGAAAAAGGTCTAAAAAATTTAACCATTTTAGAATTCTTGTATGAAAAACTTGAAAATCCCGAAGAAAGTTTCCTGAAAGTATTAAATAAATATAATATAGGAAATCAATACTGTGATTGTGATTGTGATTGTGATTGTGATTGTGATTGTAGTCGCAATCATGATGATAATAGTAATAGATTTATAAGATTATTTTCGTTGAATTTAAGTGTTTATTCCTGGATATTCAAAAAATTCGAATCTGACTCTAGAGTTACGTCGAGATGTTTCGATGAAATTCTATTGGCTAGATATTATATGGACTCCCAATCAATACTCACACATATTAAGATGGAACAAGATGAATCATTAAAAACCATTTTTGAGACTTTCGATAAACTGTGCAAACAATTCTTCTTCTCAGAAATTCCCTATAAAACCTACCATTTGAAATATCTGATTAAATCGGATGAATCTGTTTTGTTGAATCGATTTTTCCGGAAATTTCTACCAAAATTATTTAAAATTAAGAAAAACAGCAAGACTTTAATATTTAACACCGAGTCACAAGTTAATTGGTATGAAAAATTGTCCAAAGTAAAAAGTCATTTGGAATATTATAATGATAATAATAATTTATTTAAAAGTCAATTTAATCAATTTGGTGAAAAATTAAGTAAAATGAAAATTCTTAGTGAACTTCCTCCTTTTTCTAATTGTTCGAGCATTAAACGTCCAGTTAATGGTGAATCTAATTTTAAACAAGCCAATAAAAAGAAAATCAAAATTACTTGAGAATTTTAAAGTTGATTTGGCGAATGAATGAAAGGACGACAGAGTCCAAAGTTGCCGGTTATTATACCTGAAACACAAGATAAACCAAATTAAAACCTCCAAAAGATTATTTTATTTTTTACAATAATAATATCTATTAATCTTAAAAAAAGGATCGAGTTCTGGTGCTGGTAGTGGAGAATTTCACGTTTATAAAGCACGTTGTTAAAGAAAATCATGGAAGAAGAGACAAATAAGGTTTGGAAATGATTTAACAATTTTCTACCTTCTATTTTGGTTGATTGGTTAATTTTAACATTTGAAGAAAGAAACAAAAAACTAAAGAATCAGAATCAGAATCAGAAAATAAAACTTTTAATAATATCAACAATAAATGTAAATAGATATTTATTCCCTCTTCCACTCATCTCATGAAATAATTTAATTAATTAATTTGTGTATTTATTGCTTGTAACAATAATAAGTTTTAATAACGGGGAAAAAATAATATTATATTATGATTAAATATATACTAATACTAATTATATTATTATAAATTATATTAATAAATAAAATAAATTTACAAAAAAAAAAAAAAAACCATCATAGATCACCAGTATTATTAACATCAATGTTTATATGATTACCAGCACCTTCATTTAATGATGTACTGTTAAATATATTTTTATATGTGTCCATGACTAATTTTTTTTCTTCTCTCAACTTATCCAAAACTTGTGAATAACTCCACGATCTCAATTCTTGTGCTGAATCATCCACATTGGTGACATAACCACCATATCCCATTAAAGTATGAACATTAGAGTATGAATTAAAGGTTTCATTGATTAGGTTATTAATCATATTATTATTGATCATTCCAGATGGTGATGTAAAAGAGCCATTTTGATTGCAATTTATATTATTTACATTACTTTCGTTTTCATTTCGAGACCTAACACTTGAATATTTTTTGGCTTCATATGAGGTACCACTAATATCTCTTAATATTTGTTGATTTCCTGCTGGTGGTCCTCCCCAACTTTTCCAACGTGATCTTCTTGAATCTGATGCCATAATTGGCGATGATGGTCTATTTGAGTTATCATTTAATGAGCCTTTATGATGCATGCCATTAGTAAAAAGAACCGCTTGTTGAAGTTTTTGATGAATAAATGTTCTCATGTATAGATTAATGGGAAGCTTGTAATACAATATCAATTCCAAAAATGTCCACAAAACAAAATCTTGAGTTGAAGATAAAAAAATTGATCGTGAATTTGGATTAAAAGAATTTCTATCATTAGTTGTTTCACTAATATCGTTGTTCACATGTAAATTGGGCATACTTGTTGCCGGAGTAGATCCTGATGAAATCATTGCTGTTTTTGATTTTTGTGACAAAGATGCTGTCCCTGCAAAATTCAACATTTGTCTAATAAATTGTGCAATATGAACCCACATACCTTTTGTATGTGTAATGTATTTTTCAGCACGTACGAGCAAAATTTTGAGTGCAATAAAACTTAATATAAATGTAGCCGTTGATTCAGCTGTTATTGATACAACTTTTCCCGAATTATTTTCTTCATTTTCATCTTTGTTATCAGTAATCGGATTTGATATGTTTGATGTGCTACGAAAACCAAATGCTGTAGTTTTTGATCTTAAAACTATCCCTTTATTACATGCTTGTGTAATAAAATATAAAATTCTAATCCAACAATCTGCTGCTTTTGATTTATGTGAATCGTTTTTTGAAGGTAATGGCATAAACACAGAATCTTCTGGTTTATATTGTAAACATATTGGAATTAAAACATATGCTATAAGTTGATGTGTTGGCAAATATCTATCTAATTCAGAAAGTATATCTTGATCTGAATATACCATCATTGAAACAAACAAGTCAACCAAACTTTGACATAAATGAAGTTGCATAGGCTCTCCATCTTCTCTATCAGGTCTTAACGCAACACTCAATCCAAATGAAATATATTTTTCTTTGATGAAGGAAGCCATTGTATGATCATTCATTGTGAATTTTAATTTATCAGTTACAATAAGAACAAGTCCATCAATAAATCCAGAAAAATCGATTGATTTGTAATGTTGCCTAAATGATGGTGCAACTTGTCGTATAAGTGATGTGATACGTTTTCTTCCATCTTCAAAAGTTGTATTGAAAAGTAAAGCATCCTTAATATAATCTTTAAGAAAATTTGTCGAAATTTTTTTCTTTGCTGCTGCATAATCTTTTATCATTAAACAAATCATATTTGCCAACTTGCTATGTGAATTTTCTGATAAAATCCCTCCATATTTCTTATATTTCTGAACAAGAACCAAAAAATTTCTCTTTATTGTCATACGATCATTTTGTTGCCATTGTTTTCCAAAAGCCTGAGCTGTTGCCTCTGAAATATGTAAATCACTATTATCTATATTAAGATTATCCATTGATTCATTTTTGTTTCCATTTTCAGAATTATAAATATTGGTGTTATTAATGTTTCCCATTGAATTTATTATAGGCTTTGATGATTTAGAAAACTTGAGGAATACTTCAGTTAAAGCTGCCATTCCGTCATCCACCAATGTTCTTATTGAAGAAGATTCTTGCAACAAATGAGGTACTAAATATTGTAAAATTTGTACAAATTGTTCTGCACGAAGTGAGCCAGGATCATAAGCAATAATTGTCATGAATAATCTCACCAAATCTTCTAAAGAAAATATTTTTTCTTCCTGTGTTCCTAATAAACCAGATTTTGCTTTAGATGCTATACTATTAGCCCTTTTTTTAAATGTGCCATTAAATAATGGAAGTGGGTCAGAGAATAATGTATCCACAGTTTCTAATTCATCAACTATATCATGTATCCCTAATGAATCACCCTGATTTACAGGAAAATTTAATGCTTTAAATAATTCATATAATGACAAGCTCATCCATTCACATAGTTTTGTTGATTTAATTGACCCCTTAAGAATCAAAGGTGTAAGACAACCAAGAGCCTGAAAAATAAAAGATTCGCCGTGAATACGAAAGAATTTACACCATGCAAAAATAATTGCTGATCGAATTGGTGGAATTTTTTCGGATTCGCAAAAAACTTTAAATAAAGCTGGAATAAATATAGAATAACCACGATTTGCATCAAATAATCTATGAAATCTTGTGACTGTGGTTGTATATAAAATCAATGTTTGGCCAACAATACCAAAATCATCAGCATTTTCTAAAAGAATTCTATTTGCACCATTCAAAAATATATTGAGTTCATTTCTATCATTGTAATTTCTATTTAACCGCTCAAGCATAACTAATAAAAATTTTAGCCATGTACGAGCCCTTAGAGCTGATAAAAGTTTCACATCCTTTTTTCTTCTTGTAGATGGATTAGAAAATTCACTTGTATGACCTTTAGATTTTTTTATATCTGGTAAATAATATTCATCTTCATTCAACCCACATATTGAATCTTCAGATGCATTTGTAGATGGCATTGGTATATATGCTTGTATCATCTTTTTGACTGAGTAAACTTCATGTGGACATTTAATAACAAAATTGGTCATGAAATGTATATGACCAATACGAAGAATAGCTACTTGAAACATCACAAGTGGTACATCAAGTATTTGAAATGTAACCTGATCATTTGTCAAATTTCGTGGAAACATATCCAAAGGTGAACCATCTGTGAACCAAAATTGACCATTGTTACAAAGAATATTTTCTATTTTGTTTTTCCGAAAATCGCGAACAAGTAAATCATTGACTGTAGGTACAATTTCTGCTAAAATAGGAATAACATATGTCATAAGTCCTAAACCATTACTCTTGTTATCACGTGAATACCACTTCAAAATTCCAGCAAGATGATTGAAAAGGGTATGTGAAAAGCCTGAAGGAAAAACATGTTGCATTGAAATAAGAAAATGGATTTTTGTGAGAAGTTCTTTTTGTGCTTCAAAGTTGATTGTGCCCAGTTCACTAAAAAATATTCGAAGAAATAAAAGAGGATCATCTCTGAGAAAATAAATTATAATTTCTTTAGTAAGGTTAAATACTCCTCCATGAAGATCATCTAATAAATCTACAAGTCGCAATGAAAAGGAACTTAATATTAGAATTGATACTGTTCTACGTTTATTTGCATTTGATTGCATATTGTTGTTGGGGTGATTGCCACGAATATTTCTTTTGATTTTTTCATGAGAATGTAATATATTTGATTCTTCTTTATTTTTCATTTCTTCTTCATCAAGATAAAAGGTTGGTATTAATGATATTGGTGTTGTAATACGTTTTAAATTTTCCAAACCTTCTCCTTCTTCCTCTTCCCAACCTAGTTCTTGAATTCTTTTTTTAACATCTGTGGACAATTTATTATCATTTTTATTGGACAAGCCTCTGTAATATTCATACATCATCATTTCTGAAGTACCAAGTTCAGTTGGAACAAAAGGAATTGCTGGAGCTTGTGATCGGAAAGGACGTCGCCTGTTAGAATCAGACACATAAGGTTGGCTTAAAAGTTGACTTCTGTGACCAAACAATGAAGAAATTTTACGAATAGTTATGGCACGGGTCAATGCATTTGTACTAATATACATATAAATCAGTAAATAAGTAAATTAATCAATTAATAATTAAAATAATGTTTATTAAAATTCAAAAAAAAAAATAATACCTGTAAAGATCCTTCATGATTAAATTTTTTACTATTTTATAAGCTTTTTCACCACACTGTATAAAAAGAAATGAGGCCGAGGCAAAAGGTTGATGTTCACGATCATTCAAAAACCTGTCCCATAAACGTGGTGCTATTTTTACATACTCTTCAGATGTCAAAGTGGAGAATACTGCAACAAGTAAAGAAAGTACTGAACCAGCAGGATCTTCATTGAAGTTGTTAAATCGATGAAGACGATGTGTCGGTAATTTTGATGATGAACGGAGTGGATGATTTATTGTAGTATTCGAAACAATAATTGTAGAATGTCTTTTCAGTTCACTATATTGCGTTAATGGAGTTTTGGGAGTAGTTGGTGTATGTGGTGTTGTAGGTGACAAAGGAATTGGTATAAATGGAACAGGGACGTCCATTTGATCATCCTGTCAATTAAATAAAATAAACAGAAACAACCCCATTAATGATATTTTAAGGGATTGATGATAATCAAATCATTTATATCTACTAACTTGATTTGAATCATTTGAATTATAATCTTCTAGATTTGCATAAACAACCCTTATTCGCTGAAAAATCCATTCAACTTCATTAAGTTGGTTATTATCAACTTCTGGTTCAGAAAATAATTTAAAAGGATTGTTTAATTTATTGAGCTGGATTATTGAATCCCGATATATGGCAGCACCAGGAGCTGAATAACTCATCCAATCAATTATACGAGATAACCATCCTGGACTTGAAAAAAAAAGTACTACAAAATGTTAAAAATATGCATTATAACAATAACAATAACAATAACAATAACAATAATAATTTTATACCGATAAGTTGTTTTACAATATAAACGTATTTCAAAAAAAAGGTTACATAATAAGACACGTAAAGGTATTGGAATCAACCTTGTTTTTTCCTAATAAACATATATTTAAATTAAAATCAATTACCAAAATATATCAATAATAATAATAACAACAATAATATACCTTTGCAATTATAAAAATTGCTAAATGTTTTTCCAGATCATTTAAGAAAATTTTAGCAATCACATCTTGTTTTGAATTTTTTGAATGCTATAATTTTAAAAAAAACAATTAATAAAAGTAGGCAAATTTAATTTTAACATATACATATAGAATATAGGTATACTTGGAAAGAGAAAATTACTCACACCAGAATTATTCAACCTTAATTCTCTAATTATCCACACAAATTCCATTACAATAACGCATTGACCTAATGTAGTGGAACCCCATACACATTTAGATGTTGAATTTGGCGCAGTTGAAGTTAGATCATGACTATTTCCAGCAGTCTTTGTTATACCCGGACCAACATCACTTAAAATAATCACACTCATGAATTCAACATCTTGCATAAAAAGTTCTACAGGACTTAAATATTTTTGTAAAGTTGCAATAAGATGAAGATGACTAGCAATCTTTGATTCGGAATCTGATGCAACACATGCAAGTATAGGTTTATAAAAATGTTGCCGATGTTTTGTACATAGTGACAATAATAATTTTTTTAAATTTGGTGATGTTTCAGGTTGTGTTGATATAATTTTCTGTGGCAAATAAAAATAGTCAAATGCTTATTAATAAAATTTAAAAGTTAAAAATAAAAATCATCAATATTAATTAATAACAACACACAGAAAACAAATCTGAAATCGTTTCTTTAACAATATCATTTCCCATAGTATCATTTATGCCAAACACCAATTGATCTAACACTGCAATAATTCTTTCAAGGCTATCTTGTTGAAACTATAATTGATATTTTATTCACACAAAGAAAAATTTAATTAAGTTGACCTCTATTATTATTATTACAATTTTAAAATGAGTAAGAAAAATAAAAGTTCAATTACTGTTTCTTTGACAAGCTCTATGACTTCCATTTTCCATCCTTCATTCCATAAATCCTCAACATATTTTTTTGCCAATGATAGAATTTCAATGTCTGTTTGCTTAGGTACTCCTGGACTAAGTAAATCATCATTATTAGATGATTTAATTGATGAAGATGTCATTGTTTTAACCGAATTTTTGTTTTTGTTGTTGTTGGTTTTATTGTTGGTTACACTTTGTGTGAATGAAGAAGATGAAGAATGATTATCGGTGGTATTGGGTGTAGAAAGTGAACTACTGCGTTGTGGTGCAAGTTCAGGCCATGATAAAGTAAATATAGACACTAATACACTGATAAGGCTTCGTATAACCTGTGGTGACATTCTACGAAGATCTTTAGGTGGTAATTTATTATATAAAATGTTGAGTATAAGGTATGGTAATGATGAAAAAGGATTGGTTTGATCAATAATAGAGGATTTAGGATCAGAAAGCATCTCAAAAGCAGCTTGTGAAAATAATTGCACAACATGTTCATATAGAGATGACATTGTTTGATCAGGCAATATCCAATGTTTCTAGTGAAAGTTTATTTTATTAGATATATAGCTTTTAAGAATTTTAATTTTAATCAGTTATATGTTTTAATAATACCATTAAAAGATTTTCCATGACAAATCTTCTTAATTGAACATCTTTCACTAGAAGACATTTTACCAAACCTTCAAGGAATATACATTGAGCCAAACTATTATAATTCTGTATTTGTATGTGTGAATAACCAACAGTTGCTTCATCAGGATCAATAGCTACCAATGTTCCAGCAGCTAAACGGACTAAAAAACCATTTATCATTTTTATTAGCCTAGAAGCTTCTTCTGTCTTTTCAGATACTGTTGGTGAAATAATTACTAAAGTGTGTACAAATGTATACACAAGTGCATGAATGGCAGTGACAGATGTAGGAAAATATGATTTTTCTGCAGTATCATTTAATAGTTTCTCAGTAATATCACACACACGACTCTTTAATATTTTTAAATATAAATGAATTAGATAAATGGTTTAATAACTTTGCGAAGACCTATTATATGACAGATAAAATTTTACAGTACCCTAATCTCCTTTTGTCGGGTTTCTAGTAATTTACAACACCACTGAATCCTAGCAAAATTTTCCTAAATCAAAAAAAAATAAAGTTAGGTTGAAAATAACCTGTTAAATATATAACTTAAAAAAATAAATAAAATGACTACATTATGGTTTGCTGGTCTATATGTTTTTCTTATGTATTCAAATTTATCTAAAGACTTGTTGCAATCATTGTCTATTGAGAAAAAAATATTATAGTTTTTTTTAAATTATAATTATTTTTTTAAAAATAATAATCAATAAAATTTACATGCCATTTACAGGATAAATATAAAATGGTTTGGCTAATTCTGCAAAATTTGTTTGGGTACCCATCAAGAAGTAAATGACATGTAAAGTTTTTTATGCAAAATGATTTTCAAGCGTTTTTTCCGAATTCCTTTGGTGACACGAACCTTAAAATTAAGCGTGGATCTATAGCGCAGGACATCAAAATTTAAAAATTATTTACTTGTATAAATTTCTACATATTTTCTTGGAGATCCTTCAATGATTTCTTCTCTTTTACCATTTACTATAGAAAATACAAA